GCAATAGACAAGGAATCCGTTTCGAGCGCTGCTAGAAGATTCCACCATTGTAAACGATGACCCGATCGAAATGAACCAAATTCAACAAATTCTTTAGGTTGAATTTCCAATGAACAATTGGATAATTTCGCAATGACATCATTTTGAATAAATCCTGTGCTGTTGATAGCAAATTGTAATTGTTTGTAATCGGAGTGGTTGAGCTGAGGACTTAACATGCGGTGCTCCTCTTCGAATTTAATTGGTTGTGTAGGAGAGATGCACACCTCTAAACTATTTTCGAATAAAAAACCTTCAACGGCTGTTGAGCCAACCCTTGGCGGATGAGAAGAATAATTCTGTGTTACGGAAGTTGTAGAAGAAACGAGGTTTACTTTATAGTTCTTTGGACCATGGTAGTATAAAATCAATTTCGTTTGATGAGGAGAAATATTTAACCATCTATGCATCATATTGCTTGGATTGGGCTTAGGCCGATTAACAAACTGCCAAAGAACTTCTCTATAACATCGAATTTCACTCGGTATTTGTGGTTCGAAAATGACAGCTAATGCGCTTTCGTGTTGAACTGGCATGGGATTTTCAAAAATACTCACCCTCATATCATGAGCCTCTTGTTCAATCTTACATTTAGTGCGATAACCGTATGAATAAGTACATGCGCAAGACAGACCGCGTATAGAGTCCATAAGATGTGTATATCGATGTTTCGCTTGTTGAACTTCCTGTATCTTGTTTTGTTTATCAATCTCGGCTTGACGTCGAATTTGTTCTATACTGTTATTCATTGCCAGTGGTTGACCAGCATAGTAAACACCAAATGCATTGACATGTTTAATGTCTGTTAAAAGATCGGGATATGATTTAGAAGCAAATTCTTTGAAGAATTCGTAGAGACTTTCGGCTCTGACCATATCGTCTCGATTTGGTGACACCAAAAATCCGAATCGAATGTGCATTCAATCGTTTTAATATGTTATCTTGGCATAGTTTATGGTGCATAGAGCGAATAATTGTCAATGATGTTAGGATAAATCGACTATAGCCGACGGGATCTGCTGATCCATAATGCGTCAGTGCTGCATTTTGATACTCTTCGAAAAAAACTAATAAATCTTGAAATTTTTTCTTACGTCCAGCTAGTTCGCCATGATTGATCCATTGTTCTAGATGCGTGTCCACCCATATTTCTAAACGAGTTATCGCGACACCCTTAGTATATCTACACTTGTTTGTTAAACTCTCAAGAGAAGGTATATAATCGATGTTTTTAGTATTTTGAGATGAATCACCGTAGTGACCATTCGTGTATAGATCTGTTTCCAATGCTTCTTGTACGGCACTACCATCCAGATATGCTTTTAGATCTCTACAAAAATGTTTACAAATTCTTGTATTGTTCAAATGGAAATTCTCCATTGACAAATCTTCATTTCGGATCTCATTCATGCGAACCACTTCTTGCCAATCTGATTTGGGAAAGATCCGACTGATACTATCTTGTATATCATTCTTTGTATTTTCAATCCATTGATTTATACTTTCGGACGGTGAAGAAATTGGTAAATGATCAATTTTATTCAAGCGTCGTGCAATTTTCCTCATTGAATGCACCAATAAGTCGATTGGAGGCGTTCTTGTGCAGATAATGTACGTGAGAAAATGAGTTACGAATAGTTCATAAATGATAATCGCATTTGCTTTCAAAGATTTCGTCAAAATAGTTTGTACTACCACTTTGATAGTCATCCAGAGTCCCGAACGACGAAAAGGTGATGATTCGCTTTTTGATCGAACTTGATCACGATGTTTTTTCTTGAACGGAAGGCAGATCTCAGTCGTATCATTGTCTATCAATCCTTGAAAGTGCTGAATCCACCATTGGCATACGTAATGTGATTCGGGCACATCAAGTATTTCCACTTCTTTACCAGATACTTTTGGTAACTTCGAATATTCAATCGTATGCATCATGAAATCTACCAAGACTTCACAATGAGTCTTTATTGACAGCTGATTTCGATCACATAATCGATAGGTAGCTACAGGAAAGCAGGAATAATGCCGTGTGAATGATGAAGTTATTTCTGAAGTTGACAACAGAACTTCCCACGCTGAAACTGCTGCTTGATTTTTTTCATCGATTTCAATTAGGATTGAAGCATTTTGTGTGTGAAAATAAAGTGGAAGGAAACTTCCAGATGATAGTTTTTCAATGGTGGATTGTACATTTGATGCGGAAAAATTCTGAGGATTTTGAAATGCAGCCCAACGTTTGATGCCATCGTGGAGAATGCGAAAGATAGGTGGAGTAAACGGTAAATGAGTAGGAGCGATTGAATTGAAATATTCATCAAGGCAGTCAAGTAGTTTGTACTCATTTTCGTGTTTGTCTTTAATCAAAAGATCTTCATCAGCTGAATTTGGTAGATAATGAGGGAGGAATAAATGGTTTAAAATTGATTCATCCATAAGATTTCATACAAATCTAAAAAGAAGTTAATAGATACCATGCTACACTCAAGATAAATATATACGGTGATAAGAAAAAGAAAATTATCTATGTCTACACTCTCTTAACACTTGTTGTGTTTAATAATTCTTATATTAAACATCCTCGATGTGGATTTCTCTATTCCAAGAGACGACAAAATAAACTTCGCTTTCACAAATGAGAAAGAATTCGTTTGTACTTTTCACTACGATTATTACAGATTTATAACAAGTTCGATTGTCACATGATTGACTTACGCTGAGAAAGGACAAAAGAATACTACCACCAACCACATATTTTATTTTCGTCAAGATACCCACACTGGGAAGAAAAGAATTGAAAAACAACGTAGAGCAAATCAATGTCTATACTCTGCAGATAAGAGCGTTTTTCTTTCAGCCTCAGAAGTGGCTGCACAAGCACAACACAAGAAAATGTCGGAGAGAAAAATGTTGAAAGTTATAGTATATCGAGATTTTTCAGAGGCTTTTCTTGCCGTGTACATGTGACTTTAGTGTAACAAAACATATTCTCATCAGACAAACAAATTCCATATTCTTTTGTCTTCTATTGTCGGTATTCTTATCATTTTATTCAATCTATCCCTGTATTTAACATTAAATTGGCAGAATAAGTATGCAATCGATAACTGATGATACAACAACTAACACATACGATTGAATCGTAGCGATATGCCTAGTGCCCGCTTGGCGTTGAAATCTTTTTGGTAGTTAATCGATGTTTTTCTCTGCCCGTTGTATACAATAAAACAAACTCATTTGATCCGATTCTTTATTATGGACATACAGGAGAAAGAATTAACAAGTCAACCGCTGTATTGAAACAAGAGATAGATGGTAGTATAACAAAAAATGTTTCGTTTTGTAGTGAGCATTTGAATGTTTACGAATATTGACCGATCCAGTGGGCCCTTACGAATCCAATCAAGGAGAAAGGTATACTGAATCGTACAAAGATTTCATTGTTGACCATGCGAAAAGAAGAGCAGGTATTCTATTTTATCAGTTTGTTAATGTTATTAAATGATATTTTCCCGTGAAGCTTTAAGATGTATCGAAGAATGAAAAAGAGAGAAATGAGTAAATAACAATCTTGATTTACTCTATAGATGTTATGGTTATTCATTTGTCAGGATTATAATAATCCACGAAGAAAATTTTACATTGAATGTTTGAGAACCACAAGAGACTGATGAATATTCGGAATTTTCATTTGAAGATATTGGAGATTGAAAAATACTCCATTTGTAATGTCTATAATGGAATATATTTGATAAAATACAAGTAACAGTAGTCGAAAGACTGGCACAACTCTAGTTCTAACCTGATATTAATTAATGTAATTACAATGGAACCGTTTATTTCATTATACCTTTTTAAAACTGAGTTCAAGAGATTATATATTGATTCTCATCTGACATTCTCATCCGCAAAGTCACACTGTGTCTTTAGAACTGATGATTCTGTTCGACAAAATGATGATCGGCATCATAATAATTTCGATTGAATCGGTTTACTACAAGGTCATGATTTGGATGGAGACGATGCGTACTAATTGAAGTATTGATTGGAATGTTTCCATCGATCGATGAGATTTGTTTCTCTGCTTTATTTGAAATTATATATGGTAAGAAGTTTGGACTATAACGATGCCAATCGAGTATAAACTTAAATGAAACGAATGCCACAAGTGAGCCCACTATCCCACCAACTAACACATCATTCCAATGATGATGNATTCATACATACTAGATTGAAATATCATGGAATAATTGCAACTATAAGTTCTGCGATACATTGATAGCCATCACTTTCTTTCCTTTCCAAAAATAAAGTAATAAATTTCTTCCCTCACTAGAAATGCCTTTCGGTAAAGAACAGTATAAAGATGTATTATGCCTAAGATTCGATCTTTTAATATCAACTGGCTTCTTGTGGATTTCTACATGATGTGAGCAAATGTTTATCGTACAAGAAGTGCCGCAATATATATAGCTATTAGAAGCCCATGGGGGCTTCTGTTATGGGAAGGGTTTATACCTACTCCTATAGAATTGTCTGCACCAGTTTTCTAAAGAGTTAATTTTTACAACTTCATTCAATAATAAAGAAAATCTATTTATTCCAAAAACTCATTAATGACATATCCTGTAAAAAATAAATATTATTTTTACAAAAGTTACATAGTTGTATCAGAAGACATCATGAATCAATTGTTATTGCAAAAAGCCGTCATATTGATGGATAGAAGTTAAGACATTTTCGAATATTTAGAAAGAAACGTGATCGTCATCAATAATGATGGCATATCAGTAGTAATGCATTTTGGTGAAAAGATTCCTTGATATTTCTATATGGTGTGTTGGCAGTTCTGATTTATGTAAATTGCAATAAATAACTTTAGCTTAAATATTGGTTCCGAGAATATATATTATTATTTTTCGAGTTATATTACATATTCCGTTCTGCCATGTCTTATGATCATATTTGGTTAGTTAACAATCTATAATACAACTCTTTTACAAATTAATCGTCAAGTGACAGCACATTATCGACACACAGAAAGTCAATTATTACGAATACTTCTAGTTCGAGTAATAACTTATATTATTCTGGATATGCCATTACCGTTTATCTATTTAATTTTAAGTTTATCAATAGGATATATATATATATTATCAACAAATATTTACAAAGAAGAATGAATTCGATTAGTATTCAAGGTTTTGCCTAGCAGAGAAATTCGTCTGATAAGACATATCTTTCATTAATGTATAATTGAATAGATTTATTGAAAAAAGAATGTTAGTGTCATAATTCATCCTTACGATAAAGTTATTTTTTAGGTAATTCACTAATTAAGTGTTGATTATCAAGACCAATATCGAGTCCACATGTATTGCAACATGGTGGTCTTCCACAGCACGTAAGACACATCGTAGGCGGTTCAAGTATGTCAATTAAACCAGGAAAAATTGGTTTAGGTGCAGTTGGTAATGATAGAATTGGTTTTGGTTTAATTTGAAAAGAATAAGCAAAATTGGCAGTAAACAATAGGAGAAAAGCAGCGAGTAAATAACAACGCATCTTGAATTTAATATCGAAGGAAAGTATAAATCATCGATAAATTTTTATCGATTTTTATACCGACGTGAGTATTGAAAACATCTGCATTTGTTCTCATTAGTTAAACCCATGAGTTTTCTATACAATCCGTAGGTGTGACTGATAATCACAGGGGTATGAAATATTGTCTACATTAATCTTTTTTATCAATCGGATGATGTACTCACTTTAAAATGAATCATCGAACATATTTTTCGTGAAACGATATGGTTTCTTTTGGTGCTGATAACAGGTTAGACACGTCTCAGAGTACTGAAATTTTGTTTTGTATTAGTAAAAGAAAGCTTTTAAATGAGACATTTTCTCATATGAGTTTGTATATTGCTATTAAAATTCAGTGCAATATGCTACGAAACAGTGCTAACCATTGCTATCTTCAAACAAAAGGAATGTCAATGCTAAGTCGTCATCGCGTAACCTCAGAAAGCTCAAGCGTCGTCAATAGACTATATGTCAAGCAAAATGCCAACGAACGACTTACAAATTTGATTGTTTGAAGAAAATATGACTCTAAGATATTTAGAAAGAAAAGTACGTACAATAAGAAATAAAATTTTCAAATAAATCAACAAAACAATGATAGTCGAATTCTATTGTCGAACCAATTGGTTTTTTTATAGATGGAAATAAAGTTGTTGCCTTTCGATTGAATAAAATTTTAAAAATCTTTCGCCTATCAATGACATCATGGATGTGAAATACAAATAATACTTGATTTATCACCAGGCTTATTTGTTAAACATAATTCATATTGATTAGTTGAGAAGCATATGTGAGATTGTATTTTAACTATGAATTAAAGAGTTCATATAGAAAATTCTATCAAATCTGTTAGACTAAAATGAAATAATGAAGATACGTAATATATGCAAAGGAAAAATAAAATATGAATTTCACTTATCTTAAAATAATAATAAGAAAATATTATCGTTGATAACTGCACTTTTTCCGTTTGTTTATTTTATACCGAGGGTATTCCATTACCTTAGTGCTTTTTTGTTGTAATTTTGAAAATAGAGAAAGTCAACAAAGATATCAATATTTCTCAATCATCACGAAGGCTAATTTGTACATTGTTAGAAATAAGTTTGATTAAGTGTATCAAAAATCGCTGTTATACTTTTATTAAAGATCATTATCACAAAATACATCAAAGACCATCTTTCTTCATGGAAGGAAAATATGATAGAAATATCAATTATAAGATATTTTCATATATAGCTAACTAAATATGACAAAATGTATGCAGAATTAGTCATTCTAGAACAACATAGTTAATGCAATTGAACTGAAAATCAGAATTGAAACAGTATTTATTCTACTGTCACTCGTTATTGTACAATTGACACCACTATAGCCAGCAGTACATCGTTTTGTAATATTTATATTTGATACAACTGCATCCCAAGCAGCACATGTTGGTGAATGATAACCATTTGTTGCCAACATAACAGTTGCACTACTATTTCCCAATGCGGTATTTGTAAAAACTAAATAACGTGAACTATTACTCATTGAGTTTGTTGCATAATTTGGCCAACCTCCAATTCTCTTCATTTGAGTTATAATTGGATTACAGTCTTCTATATAGATAGGTGTATTTGGATTACCGTTAATAGCAAATCGTATCCAAAGTAAACTCATTGCTGATGCCAATATTTGTTCATCAGGATTAAATGAACTAACTGGAAATATTGTTTG